TTCAGAACATTTTCTTAATAAAATTTGTTTGCCAATTGACCTAGATGTCCCCTGAAAGCATGGTCCCCAGACACCTACCCCTGCTACTCTGTCCCTCGAAGTGTTCAGTTGTATTCAGGAAACTTCTTAGCTTTGGTTTAGTCCAGTTGTACTGACTTCCCCTGCAGTAAGCACAGATTCTTTACTCAATGTTTCAGCTCGAGAAGTTAGGAAAGGATCTAATAGTTTATTTGGTTGGGTCGCTGAAGCACAGATTATCTGGTGGCCTATACTAAATCAAGCTGAAGTACCAGACCTGCCTTGGTATATTATAGAAGAAGGTATTCAAAGGCTTAGAGAAATTGGCATTCTAGAGTAGATTTATCAGGTTAGACCCACAGACCCACACATGGAGTACCCAGAGGACACACCTTTTACCACAACTGTGAGGAACAAATTTGTGAAGAGAGCCCCAGCATCCTTGAAGACTGCTGTGATTTCTATTTTATGTAAGTCAGATTTGACAGTGGGAGCTGCTCTAACTAAATTAAGACACCTAACTACAACAGGGCTGATTGGACCCCATTGTAGTAGGGGCCAAGTGTCGGCACTCAATCGACAAAGACAAGGTGGGCATGGTTACTGCAATGGACAGCAGAGTCAAAGCAGTAATCAGAATAGTCTGACTCCTGTGGACTTATGGCTTTAGCTACTTAGTCATGGCGTCCCTAGGAATGAACAAGATAGAAAATCTTCTAAATATTTACTTGATTTGTACAAGTCGATGAATTCTAGGTCAAGTGAACAGCAGTCTAACTCAAATGGCCCCTCAATCAATTCCCAGACTTGAGCGAGTTTAAAGACCCACAACCTCTTGAATGAAGGGGAGGCCGGGTCCCTTTGAGGAAGGACTTCAATACACTGCCAGAAACTTATACTGTTAATCCTTCTCCCAGCCTTCCCCAAAGGGAACTACAGTCTTTTATGAGAGCAACTGTTCATTGGGGAAAATGAAATAATCAGACTTTTCAGAGATTACTGGATACTGGCTCTGAACTGACACTAATTCCAGGAGACCCAAAATGTCACTGTGGCCCACCAGTCAGAGTGGGGGCATATGGAGATCAGGTTATTAATGCAGTCTTAGCTCACGTCTGTCTCACAGTAGGTCCAGTGGGTCACCGAACCCATCCTGTAGTGATTTTCCCAATTCAGGGATGCATAATTGGAATAGATAAGACTCAGCAACTGCAGAACCCCCACATTGGATCCCTGACAAATGCAGTAAGAGCTATTATGGTAGGAAAGCCAAGTGGAAACCATTAGAACTGCCCCTACCTAGGAAAACAGTAAACCCAACAGCAATACTGCATTCCTGGAGGGTTTGCAGAGATTACTGCCACCATCAAGGCCTTGAAGGATGCAGGGGTGGTGATTCTCACCACATCCCCATTCAATTCGCCTATTTAGCCTGAGAAAAAACAGATGGATCTTGGAGAATGACAGTGGACTATCAAAAACTTAACCAGGTGGTGACCACAATTGCAGCAGCTGTTACAGATGTAGTTTCATTGCTTGAGCAAATTAATACACGTCCTGGTATCTGGTATAAAGCTATTAGTCTGGCTAATGCCTTTTTCTCCATATCTGTTTCGAAGGACCTCCAGAAGCAGTTTCCCTCCAGCTGGCAAGGCAGCAATACACCTTCATTTGCCTACGTCAGGGCTACATCAACTTTCCAGTCTGTGATGGTTAAGATTGTGTGTCAACTTGGCTGGGCCATGATTCTCAGTGTTTTGGCAGATGTATAATGTTGTGGTCACTTCCCTGTTGAGATTTGATATGTGATCAGCCCCACGATGGGATCTGCTATGAGTGGTACCAGCGGGGGTGGGGCCTGTGGAAGCTCACCGCCCCCTCAGCCTTCATCTCTCTGCTCTCTGCCACCTAGTCCTTCCTGCTCTCCTTGACAGGGCTTTTGCTCTTTCTAGATCATACAGCTGGCTCCTGTTTTTCTGACCTCTGGTTCTTGGGACTTGAGCTAGCAGCTTACCTCCCATCTTGCCTGCCGATCTTGAGATTCGTCAATCTTCACAGCCTATAAGCAACAGCCCTGCTCTTTGGCCTGCCGATCTTGGGTTTTCCAGCCCCTGCGGTTATGTGAGTCAGGAGAAGCCTCTTTCCTGCCCCACAGACTTGGGATGTTACAATTTCTAAAAACTGCATGAGCCATTTCATTGATATAAATCTCTCTCTATATATATATATTTATACACTTTACTGGTTTTGCGTCTCTAGAGAACCCAGTCTAAGACACAGCCCTATGTCATAATTTAGACCGCAGGGACCCTGATTGCCTTTCCCGTCCACAAGATGTCACACTAGTCCATTATATTGATGACATTATGCTGATTGGACCTAGTAAGGAAAAGTGTCAATGACTCTTGACTTATTGGTAAAACATTTGCATGCTGTTGTTACTGTTGTTAGGGCTGGTCGAGTCGGTTCTGACTCACAGCGACCCTATGTACAATAGAATGAAACACTGCCCGGTCCTGCACCAACCTCACAATCATTGTTACGCTTGAGCCCATTGCTGCAGCCACTGTGTCAATCCATCTCCTTGAGGGTCTTCCTCTTTTCCGCTGTCCCTCTACTTTACCGAACATGATGTCCTTCTCCAGGGACCGATCCCTCCTGATAACATGTCCAAAGTATGTGAGACGTAGTCTCGTCATCCTTGCTTCTGAGGAGCATTCTGGCTGCACTTCTCCCAAGACGGATTTGTTCATTCTTTTGGCAGTCCCTGGTATATTCAATATTCTTTGCCAACACCATAATTCAAAGGTGTAAATTCTTCTTCAGTCTTCCTTATTCATTGTCCAGCTTTCGCATGCATATGAGGTGACTGAAAACACCATGGCTTGGGTCAGGTGCACCTTAGTCTTTAAGGTGATGTCTTTGCTTTTTAACACTTGAAAGAGGTCTTTTGCAGCAGATTTGCCCAATGCAATGCATTTCTTGACTGCTGCTTCCATGGGTGTTGATTATGTATCCAAGTAAAATTAAACCCTTGACAACTTCAGTCTTTTCTCCGTTTACCATGATGTTGCTTATTGGTCCAGTTGTGAGGATTTTTATTTTCTTTACTTGTGTGCTAGGGAGTAGGAAATGGGTGAATGGGCAACACCTGCCCAAAAGCAAAGATGAGAAGGCAGGAAGAGACATGAAACTTGGAAGAATGGACATGGGGACCCCAGGGTGTAAAGGGAAAGGGGGAGCGCGCTGACACATTGTGGGGATTGCAACCAATGTTACAATTTTTTGTGTATAAATTTTTGAATGAGAAACTAATATGCACTGCAAACTTTCACTTAAAGCACATTAAAATTAAAAAAAAAAAAAAAAGATTACAGCCTTAGAAACCCTATGGGGCAATTCTACTTTGTCCTGTACAGGCACTATGAGTCAGAATTGACTCCAAGTCAATGGGTTTGGTTTTTTAATACTGTAATTAGTTATTTAAACGTGTTTGTTCTCACTGGACTGCAGACCACTTGAGGGTAGAGATTCTGTGTCATTCATCTTTGCATTTTCAGTGCCTAGTAGCAAATTATGGATAACTTTGGAAAGAATGCAAATTCCAGAACACTTAATTGTGCTCATGTGGAATCTGTACACAGACCAAGAGACAGCTGTTGGAACAGAACAAGTGGATACTGCTTGGTTTAAAATCAGGAAAGGCATGCGTCAGGGTTGTATCCTATCACCATACTTATTAAATATGTATGCTGAGCAAATAATCCAAGAAGCTGGACTATATGAAGCAGAAGACCCTCAGTGAGATGGATTGACACGGTGGCTACAACAATGGGCTAAAATATAGCAATGATTGTGAGAATGGCGCTGAGTCCGAACCGACTCACTGGCACTTAACAGCATCAATAGCAGCAGCAATAACATGCTGTAGGTACTCAACAATATTTGGTGAAGGAGTCAGGCCAGGGACTCTGCAGTTCCCCCAAACCAAGCCAGATTCTCGGGTAATTCGTTCTACCATAGAGCCAAGTGTTTTGCAGTCAACTGAGGCTCTGGGGGGCTTACCACGTCTACCTGCGTGGCTGTCTCAGTTTCCTTATCTTTAAAATGTGGACAATAAAAGCATCTCCTCACAAGGTTGTTGGGGGGATTACATGAAATAACCCAAGAAAAGTTCTTAGCACAGGGCCTGACAGAGGGTAAGGAAGGCTAGTCAAAGATATTCCTGTGTAAGCGTTGAACCAATGAGTGAAAGAAATGACTTCGGGTTGCCTGTTCATTTACTGAGTTGTTAGTATGTGCCAGGTACTTCGTTAAATACAGCATGAAAAGTGGAGAGAAGCAACTGCGCAGCACAACGGAGTGTTCTCAACCCAGACTGCAGGGAAATCAAGGCGGCTTTCTAAAGCTGAGTTTTGATGGGGAAGGGTCTTAGAAAAGCGAAAGTTGAAGTATTAACTGCGACGGTGAGCATTCCCGGTGGAGTCCACAGGTTTCTGCTTGAAAGCTACTGGGAAAAGCTCTATGGGTTCTTTAAATGAGAGTTGTGCGGGAGTGGGTGGCTTAGTAAGCCACGCGTGCGCGGGGACTAAAGTGGTCAGAAGCGCTGGAATCGAAGTTGGGTTCCAGTACTGTTAAGCTATCCGCCGTGTGCCTTTGGCAAAGCTGCTGAACTTTTCTCAACTTCCCCAACCGTAAGGAGTCTGTTAAGAATACTCACATGTCTGAGTGCCTATGAGATCACGTGACCGAAGGTACGTGAAGACGCGCTTAAATAAATTACAGAACCCCCAAGCTGATCCCTACGACTCACCGGGACTTTCCGCCCGGCTCGCTGGGGCTTGCTGCGGGGTTGGGGGGGGGCGGGGACAGGGCTGGAGGCGGGGAAGGGTGGTTTCTCTCTGGGCATGCGCGGTGGCCCCGCCGCGCGGCCCGTCAGGCACTGCGGTAGGCGCCCCCGGGGCTGGCAGGACCCTGACCCCAAGATGGCGGCGCCCAGCGAAGTGGCTGCGGCAGGCTCCGCCGAAGGCGATGGTGGGGGCAGCGGCTTTGGGATGTGGCTGGACGGACGGTTGGAGGCGCTGGGAGTGGACCGAGCTGTGTACGGCGCCTATATCCTGGGTGTCCTGCAGGAGGAGGAGGAAGAAGAGAAGTTGGACGCTCTGCAGGGCATCCTCTCTGCTTTCCTGGTGAGAAGCGCGGACATATTTTTTCAGCTTCAGGCCGGTCCCTGAGGACTCCTATCGGGACTTCGCAACCCCTTCCCCCTACCCAGAGTCCCAAGGGGTTAGTGGTCTCATTTGGGAGAGAAATACTCTCTGAGCCCTGGGCCGCGGGGCAAGGGAGTTGCTCCCAACCAGGTGCATAGAGAGGAAGGGCTTTTTCTTATTCTTGGGGACAGGACCCTTTCGGGATACCTGTGGGTGAGCAGGGTGAGTGTTCTTCCGAAGGTGTTGAAATGTTTAAATGGGAGTTTTTATCATAAACGTCTAACGACCAACTTCATCCCCATCCGTTGACAGTGTTCAGAAGGGGTGATGAAGTGTTCTGGGGCCTCTGAAATGTTTGTGCCCTTTAAGAGCCAGTGCCCAGGGCTGTCCCATGACAAAAGCCTGCAGGAAGTATCCACTCGGTTCCCATTTTGGAGGCAGGAATCAAAAAAGGGTAGGCTGCTTGTAGAGGTATTTTCATGCCTCCGCGGTACTGAAGCAAATGTTGTAGTTGGTACTTCACAGTATTTACAGTACGTATTTAGAATGCACTGATCATTGGTGAGGAGCCCTGGTGGCGCAGTGGTTAAGCGGTTGGAACCCACCACCCACTTCGCGGGAGAAAGATGTGGCTGTCTGCTTCCGTGAAGATTTACAGCCTTGGAAACCCTGTGGGGCAATTCTTCTCTGTTCTGTAGGATCGCTGTGAATCGGAATCGACTTGACGGCAATAGGTGGTTAATCATTGGTGGGGAAATAGAAGGGGGGATGAGAGAAATGAAACCTTTAAAAGAGGGAGATAAACTTGACTTAAGTAGCCTGTTAGAAGCAGAATTAAGAATTCAGAAACGAACACTTTAAACTGTGTTTCAGTAGTAAGCCACAAAGATGTCTCCTTTTCCAACCTGACCCTTTTTGCTATCTTCATCTCTGTTTCCCCTATCCCCAACACACACATTTATTAGATGCGTTTATTAGTCATAGATAACAGGTGCTGCCTGTGGCTGTACAAGAAATTATTTCCTTTTGAACACAACAAGCTCAGAAATAAACCTTACTCACACCATCACTCAATGGTGTAGAAGGCAGAGTTGGCTCTGCATTCCTGGTTTAGAGGAGTTCTGGAAACCAGACTATGACTGTGAGGGCCACTTGCCCATCAAAGGCTTTATCCTCTGGCATCTATCACAATGAACAGGTTTTAAAATGGGTTAATTTGTTATCCTCAAAACCAGTTTTCAGAGACTATTAAAGAGAATCAAAAGGTATTATGACCATATACGTAGATGTAAATATGCATACTTTTTTTTTAAAGAGCATATAGGAGAGAAGAGTAGAAGGCATAAAGTGTTTTTTTTTTTTTTTTCATTTGCAGAACAAATTAGCTTCTCATTAAACAATGAGTACATATATTGTTGTATGACATTGGTTGCCAACCCCACAACATGTCAGCACTCTCCCTTTCTGGACCTTGGGTTCCCTATTACCAGCTCCAGCTTTCCTGTCCACTCCTGCTTTCTAGTCCTTGCTCCTGGGCTGGTGTCCCCTTTAGTCTCATTTTGTTTTATGGGCCTGTCCAATCCCTGGCTGAAGGGTGAATCTCAGGAGTGATTTCGTTACTGAGCTATAAGGGTGGCTGGGGGCCATACTCTGAGGGTTTCTCCAGTTTCCGTCAGGCCAGTAAGTCTGGTCTTTTTTGCGAGTTAGAGTTTTGTTCTGCATTTTTCTCCAGCTCTGTCCGAGACCCTCCACTGCAGTCCCTGCAAGAGCAGTCAGTAGTGGCAGCTGGGCACCATCCAGCCGTGTGGCAGAAAGTATTTTGCTGACCTTTCTTTTGTACAGATCTTGTGGAGGAAGGTAGAAGTGCAGTTCATTGATTGGGCATACACATGAAATATAACACCGTACAGCTGTTCCAGGTCCTCCTGGCAAGGGCCTCTTTGACTCCCAGAGCCTGCACTGGTGAGATTGGGTTATAAATGGGAAAGCTGTAACACAGCTTGTGATGAAACTTTAAAGTTCAGTGGAAATACGTTACAGCCAAAGTAAATTTTCTTGGACCCTGAAGTAGCAGATTGTAGGGGAAGAGAGTAGGAGGCAAGCAATTTAAGTTAGTTTTTACTTCTACCTGGAAAGTTTCTAAAGACTCCATAAAGAGGAAGTTGAAATAACTTGGGCTGGTTTCTGGTGCCAGCTCCTTGATCAGTTGTTTTAATTGTGTCATTATTTAGAGCTGTATGTCTGCTTACAAAGATAGGCATGAGTTTGCTTTACACTCTTCCAGGCTCTTGGTAGAAGAGGCAAAGTTATCTAGAAGGGATCTGTGGTTCTTTGTATTTACCTCTTGTTTGCGTAAACTACAAAAGACAAGATGATTTTTAATGGTGGCTACCCCCCTTACGCCGCCCAATTCAAACACCATATTTAATTTTCTCATAGTTTTCCCAGTCTTTTCCGTGTAGAAACTGACTGTGGAAAGAATTGGCCAGCAATTATATGGTGAGGCAGGGAGTCTGTCCATGAAACAACTGAGAAGCATTTTTACAGAACAATAAGGGCAAATGAATGAATATATATTAGACACGTAGTTCAAAGTGCTACTTTCTGTCTGTCAGTTAGTCTGGCTGCATATAGTACCAGGAGCCCTTGACTGTCTACCAAATCCCTTTCTAGGGAAAACAAAAGGCATAACCAGATCAGTCACCAGATTGGATTAGGATGCAGTATTAGAAACTAAGACGTTTATCAGCAACAGTTTAAGATTCAAGAACAGTGTTATAGTTGGGAGCAAATAACAGTAAATAAAAGCTTTCTATCATCCTTCTCTTTAGTCCCTCCATTAGTACTTGCATTGATTGATTGATTCATTCATCACGTTTTTGTTGAGAGCTTACGTATGTCAAGCACTGCCCTGAGTGCTTGGGATCCATCAGGAAACAAAACAGACAGAAGTCCCTGCCTGTCTTAGTCATCTGGTGCTGCTCTAAGTGGATGGATTTAGCAAAGAGAAGTTTATTCTCTCACAGTCCAGTAGGCTACAAGTCCAAATTCAGGGCATCAGCTCCAGGAGAAGGCTTTCTCTCTCTGTCGGCTCTGGAGAAAGGTCCTTGTAATACATCAGTCTTCCCTTGGTCTGGGAGCTTCTCTGCGCAGGAACCTCAGGTCCAAAGGACACGCTCTGCTCCCAAAACTGCTTTCTTGGTGGCATGAGGTTCCCATGTGTCTCTGCTCGCTTCTCTCTTTTATATCTCAAAAGAGATTGCATTAAGACACTAATCTTGTCAACCTCATCAGTATAACCTCATCACAGTGATAGAATTTATAACACATGAGGACATCATAGTGGTAGAGTTTACAACACATAAGGAAATCACATCAGATAACACTAAAATCATATAATACTGGAATCATACAATACTGGGAATCATGACCTACCCAAGTTGCTACCCACATTTTTGGGGGACACATTCAATCCATGACACTGCCCTAAGTGCTTTGGGTACCTGAGAGAACAAAACAGACCAGAAAAAAACACACACACACACACAAAACCATAATCAGTAAGTTATATACCAGTATGTTAGAAAGTGATAAGTGCTGTGAAGAAAGAGCGCTGTAAGGGGATCAGGAGTGAAGTAGAGGGGTGAGTTGCAATTTTAAGCAGGGTGGTCAAAGTATTACATTTTATGGCAGCTGTTTATATACCAGCCTACTCAATTATAAGTGCCATGAAGCCAGGCACTGTTTCTCATTCATGAAGTCTCATTCATCTTAGTGCTTTGAACATAACAGGCACTTTCTGGATGAATGAATGAGTGAATGGATACATGAACTAATTGGTTCAGGCAAGGAGACTGGAGGAATAAACCACCTTCTCGTCCAAGAGCTGTCTTTCTCTTTTGCCTCTCCACTCCTTTTCCTGTGCTTTTTTCTTTTCCTCTTCCTTTGTTTTTTTTTTCCCCCTGGGGGCTCCAAGAACTACAGGAACTCTGGACCAAAGAAGTTCTGCATATCTGGCACATGTGCTAGAAGGATGCAGAGTAGAGGACGGAATCCTCTGCTGGGGACAAATAATGATATCCAGAATAGGTCTGTATTCCAACTGCTTACTTTTCTTTGGAAAGATGGTATAGTATAATGATTAAGAATATGGACTTCAAGCCTGACTGCTTAATTCACTTATTCTTGTGTGACCTTGGGCAAGTTTCTTAATCTCCATGCATTGGTTCCCTCCTCTAAATTGAGACTAGTAATAGTACTTACTTTGTGGGACTTATTTTAAGAATTGAGATTTTTCATGTAAAGTATTTAGAATAGTGCCTGGCATATGGTAAAACCAAAAAACCAAACCCATTGCCATTGAGTTGATTCTGACTCATAGCGACACTCTAGGACAGAGTAGAACTGCCCCACAGGGTTTCCAAGGAGCAACTGGTGGATTCATACTGCCGAACTTCTGGGTAGCAGCCAAGCTCTTTAACCACTGCGGCACCAGGGCTCCTGGCATATGGTAAACACAAAGTAAATGTGAACTCTGCTAGTTTGCCCTGAGGGGTGGCATGTGACTGTCATGAAGGCAGCCATAATGAAGATAGGGGGAAATACTCATCTTTGTTGAATGCCTATTTTTTACCAAGTAGCATAGGCACTTTATACAGATTCTGCTGTAATCCTCACTAACATCCTGGGAAGATGTAAGAGAAAGTTAAGAAACTTGCTCATAGGTCTGGCGTTTGAACTTAGTATGTCTGACATGAAAGCCAACTTTTTTTTTTGTTATGCCATGCTGAGGAAGGAGATTGGTTGGCCTGTAAAATATGTATGCTAATGTAAAATGGACAGAGGAATGGTTGGCTAGGAGACTATCTCCTCATTTACCTCCTCTTTATGTGTCAGTAAGCAGCACGAAAGTTGATTAATCTTGGAGAATGTTGAGTTGAGTCTATCATCCAATGAAGGTTGCACAGAGTGGAGTTTTGACTCAGCCAACAGGTTTTTGCTCCAAAAGAATGAAGAGGACTGCCCTGAGTGGTGGGAATCCTTCCCCTGCAGTTGGCAGAATGGAATGTGTGCTCTTGACCTGGCAGGTGTGGCTTGTGGAGCACACACAGAATTACTTCGGTTTCCATAGCCTCAGAAGAGAAATGCACACTATTCTATGACTCTCCAAGCCCTTCTCATGATTTCTTCCCAGATTCACGCCCTGTAGTTAGGATTTTTCAGGTTGCTGTTATTTTATTTTTGAACATTTTATTGTTTTGTAGGTGAAAGTTTACAGAGCAAATTAGTTTCCCATTCATCAATTTATACACAGCTTGTTTCGTCATGACATTGGTTGCAAACCCCTGAATGTGTCAGCACTCTCCCCAGCTGTGTCCATTTGCCCAGCTTCCCTGCCCCTACCATCCTTCTGAACTTTGCTTCTGGGCAAGTGCTGCCCTTAAAGTCTCGTATAGTTGATTGTTCTGAGGTATACATTCCTCACTTGTGTTATTGTTCATTTTATAGGCCTGCCTGTTGTATGGCTATCATGCGATCTCTGGGAGTGATTTCATTTCCAAGTTTGAAGGGTGTCTGAAGGCTATAGTCTCGGGGGTTCCGCTAGTCTCTGTCAGACCAGAAGCCTGGTCTTATTTATGAGTTTGAAATTTGTTCTACATTTCTCTCCTACTTTGTTTATGACCTACTACTGTGGTCCTGTTCTAATAATGGTTATCGGGCACCATCTAGTTCTAGTCCCAGACTAGTATAGTCTATTAGTCCTTTGGACTATTTGTTTTCTTGAGTCTTTGGTTGTCTTCACTCTTCTTTGCTCTGGACGGGAAGAGACCAGTTGTGTCTCTTACATGGCCACTCACAAGCTTTTAAGACCCCAGTCGCAACTCACCAAGGTAGGATGTAGAACATTGTCTCTATGGATTATGATATACCAATTGACCTAGATGTCCCCCAAGACTATAGTCCCTAGCCCTGGAGCCCAGTATCTCAGTCCCAGGAGGTAGGTATATGGTTATGGCTAAGAAGTTTTCATGACTGTGTCCTCTGTGTGCACTATTGCATACATGGGTATATTTGCAGCATGTGCGCATATATATGTATGTGGGTGTACTTCCCTATGCCTTCCCACCCCTGTTCAGCTTACATATCTACCTATGTATCCACTTGTACATTATCATTTGTTATTACTGTTAGAGGATTGTATGTGTATCAGTATTGACAGTTGTTGCCTTTTACTCTTGCATAACTTTCATTATCTTCCTTTATCTTGATTATGTTGTGCTGACTTCCCCCATATTGTGTATTCTGTCTCTTTTCACGAAAGTTAGTACATGGCTACTCTCTAGTTAATGGTCCCCCCTATCCCTGGTAACCATCAAAGAATGTTTCTGTCTGTGTGGAAACCTTTTCTTGACTTTTTATAATAGTGGTCTCATATAATATTTGTCCTTTTGTGATTGACTTATTTTACTCAGCATAATGCCCTCCAGGTTCATCCGTGTTGTGAGATGTTTCGCAGATTCGTCATTATATTCTTTACCGTGATGTAATATTCCATTGTGTGTGTGTACCGCAGTTTGTTTATCCATTTGTCCATTAATGGGCACTGAGGTTGTTTCCATCTTTTTACTATTGTGAATAATGTTGCAGTGAACATGAGTGTGCATATGTCTATTCATGTCATGGTCCTTATTTCTTTAGGATATATACTTAGGAGCGGGATTGAGGTTGCTATTATTTTTGAGGGCACTCTGAGAAAACTAATTGGTTTACTTTTCCAACTAGGAAGAAGACTCCCTACTTAATATCTGTCGGGAGATTGTGGAACGATGGTCGGAAACTCAGAATGTAGTCACCAAAGTGAAAAAAGAAGGTAGAGTTGGAGTTTCTGTATCTAACCTTCAGTGTCTTTTCCAACAGCTTTTACTATACAGCTGTTAGGGAAGAGTTTTTAGTTTTCCCCTTTGGATACTCATTTTCCCTAAGATCATTTAAACTGGCAACACCAGCAGCTCACTTTAACATTTTACTGAACATTGGTTTTCTTTTCCTCTTTTATGTTTTTCCAGTTCAAACTGAGAAGTTATCTTCATTGTGATTTTTACTTTTTCATTCTTTCCACTGCTCCTTTCCCATTTACATTGCAGGTCAAATACATTTTTACCACCTCCCACCTTTTCTATATTCATATGTCATAGCACAAATTATGGTTGGGCTTTTGCCTTATTCAGCTAAAGCCTTCACTCTTTAAAGTGGAAGCAAAATGAGCTAATATACTTCACTATTATGATGACAAATTAGCTGTAGAATATTTAAATCCTAAAAACCAAACTTGAATCTATTCGAAACTGTCTACACTGTTGCTTCTTAGCCTTGACTGTACATTAGAGTCACTTGACAGACATTAAAAAAATACCAGTGCCTGGCTGTACCATGGACCAATTTTATACCAACATCTTTGGAGCTGAGGCCAGGCATTCAAATGTCTTTAAAAATGATTCTAATGTGCAGCCAGGTTTGAGAACCACTACTCTACACCATTGCCTCCTTTCATTGAGAACAGAGAACTTATTGGTTGATTTTTATTTTAAGTCTAAGAATTTCACCTGGCATAATTATAAACATGAAAGGAACCAGCTTATGTTGGTTCTGTATTCCTTCTTAGGTTTCTGGGATGAGAGGGGAGAAAGTTGCATCTTTGGAGGCTTAATTTTCAATGGTTCTAATGTAGTGCTTTTCAACTTTTTTTTTTTCTTTTAAGCAGCAGACTTATTTTTGTTTTAATGGGAACTTATGCAGCCACAATATATAAAACAGATAAAAGCAAGGCTGCTCTGATTGACGATGGATACAAGGTTTAAAGCCTGGCCTGCATGCCCTCTTCTTGCCTTTCTCATTGGCCCCTAAGGCACCTCCTTTGAGCCCCAGGGCTCTAAGGAGTCAGAGATGCCAGTGCCTTTAGGACCAACACTGCCTGGGTGGACTGGTGGTTCAGTGAGCTTAATTTCTCTCTCATACAACCTATTGTCCCTCCTTTCCACTGCCAGATGAGGTACAGGCCATTGCCACCCTAATTGAGAAGCAGGCGCAAATCGTGGTGAAGCCCAAGATGGTGTCAGAAGAGGAGAAGCAGAGAAAAGCTGCCCTCCTGGCCCAGTATGCTGATGTCACAGATGAAGAGGAATATCCTTTCTGGAGTCTCAGCACCGTTCCCTAAGGCTCAAGGCAGAAGTGTTTGTTGTTTTACAGTGAGCTTTGGGAAGTTGTCAGTGCCCCTCTGTAGCTTAATTTTTTTCCCTCTGAATGGCAGTGATATGGCCCTTTATGGGTATGAGGAATGATGTTGGAATAATTGATCCTAGACTTACGTTTTCAATATAAAATCAGAATATTCCTGAAAATTTTACTGTAAAGCAAATGATACCTTAATAATGGACTTTTTATATCTTGTTTTCAGAAAACAGGATAGGGCTGTGATTTCTTATATTTGTATAGCACCTTTCTATGCCATTCAGTATCACATGTATTATCCATGTTTTATTCTTTCACAGTAGATAAGGAAAGTAAGGCACAAATGAGTGGGAGATCAGAGGCATTCAGAGTTAGTGGCAAAACCAGGACTAGAATCTGGATACTTTTGGATGAAGGATTCCCTAAAGTTGGAGAAGTTTCACTGAATTTTTTTATGTTCCAGTGACTACATAATTAAAAGTGAGACTGAACCCACAGGCAACACCAGAATAAATTTGGAATTTGAGTACAGGGACTATGCAAAAAGAAAGTGTTCCTAGCGGGGGCAGTTTTGGTTCCCTGTAAACTTGGAATTTGTTTAGGAAATGCTTAGCTTTCTTAGCCTACTTGAATGAAGTATGTGACACTTACAGTTTTTCCCCATGACTTTTCTTGCCAGAGTTGGCAGAGCTATGGTTCCAGTTACAAAATCTCATTCCTTTGTCTGGAAGATAACTTTAAAGCAGTGGTTTGCCTGGATGGCTTGTTAAAAAACAGACTGCTGGGCCCCACCACCAGAGTTTCTGATTTAGTAGGTCTGGGATGGGGCCAGAGAATCTGCATTTCTCACGAGTCCCCAGGTGGTTCTGGGAATCATACATCAAGAACCACTGTTTTAGAGGTATCTTGCCATCCCCTAACTTCCAGGTAAATGTGACAGCCCACCCAGATCAGCTAAAGTTTCTTTTCAGCTTCTAAGAGATAGGATCTTAAAAATAAGGATCTTTGAACAATGTTCACTAAGTTGAGACTTATAAAGATGAATCTCCTGGGTTTACCACCACATCCCTGACTGTCTTCCTTCCATTCGATGTGCCTTTCCCACCCACCAGTCTCCTGAATGTTTTCTAATGTTAGGTTGGGATATGCCAACCCTTGTCTTCCATGTGACTTTCCTTAACGTCACTCACTGAAGCAGATGAGAAGGATGATTCAGGTGCCACCGCAATGAACATTGGTTCTGACAAATGTATCCTTCTCTGTGTCCACCCCCATGTGTTTCTCCATAGAATCCTTGAAGGTCAGTTTTTATTTTGCCATGCTGTCATTGCTGAGGGCTCCCATTAGCTCCAGGAGCTTATGTCACACCAGCATTGGGAGCCCCATTCCTAGGACGAACCTAGTCAATTTAGCAAGAACTTTCCCCAAAGAACACGTTAACATGTACTGTGACGGGATTAGCTTGAAGGAAGGATTTGTGAGGAAAAATAAGAATCTGTACTCCCTGTGTATAGCACTGGTTGCCCAGCACTGTGTAAGGATTAAAACAATATTGAAGTCTTGGTCTTTGTCCTCAGAGACCTTATAATTTGTTGGAAAGAGAACACAAAATGAAACTTTTAACAGACTAAGCAGTAGTACGTATTGAAACATATGTGCTAAGGAAGGTCCCTACCAACAGAGTCACTTATTAGAAGCTTACTAGAGAAGGTGAGTTTAGAGATCCACCACCCACCTTCTTAAAGATGAGGAGTATGGTGGATTATCAGAGCAAGGGGAGGTTATTTCAGGAGACTTATTTATATAAAAGAACTAAAGCAGAAAAAAGTCATTTTTAGAAAAGAGCTTGATTAGTATAAACATTGTTTTTAGAGTCATAAGAAATGAGAGGTAAAGTTTTTGTCTTGGTGTTTTCTAACTATGGTTAAACTTATTATTTCACAACTCTTATTATAAATTGAGTTCATGGCTATTAGAACATGGATTTCACTTAAACTTTAGTGGTCTAGGGAAAAAAAGTTTAGTAGGGTTAAACAACTTAAGTCTTTTCAAGCACTTTAATATTGCCAAGTACATAAAAGTTTTACCAGTTACACTTCATACTCTACTCACTAAAACTAGCCTAGCTGCTCCAACAATACTCTGCCCTTGAATGATGTTTAGTACTTATTCTGGAATGAAATTTCATTTTGATAAAATATTTTAAAATTCAGATTTAGATCCTCTGAAATTTTTATTCTGAGGAACTTTTTTTTTTTTATTGTTGTGCTTTAAGTGAAAGTTTACAATTCAAATTAGTCTCTCATACAAAAATTTATAGTTATGTGACTCTAGTTGCTCTGCCTGTACCGTGACAGCACACTTCTCCCTTCCACCCTGGATTTCCTGTATCCATTCAACCAGCTCCTGACCCTCTCTGCCTTCTCATCTTGCCTCTGGACAGGAGCTGCCCATTTAGTCTCATATATCTACCTGAGCTAAGAAGCACACTCTTCATGAGTATCATTTTATGTCCGATAGTCCAGTCTAATCTTTGTCTGAAGAGTTGGCCTCAGGAATGGTTTTAGTTTTGGGCTAACAGTCTGGGAACCATGACTTCCAGGGTCCCTCCAGTCTCAATCAAACCATTAAGTCTGGTCTTATTACTAGAATTTGAGTTCTGCGCCCCACTTTTCTCCTGCTCCGTTAGGGACTCTGTTGTGTTCCCTGCCAGGGCGGTCATTGGTGATAACCAGGCACCATCTAGTTCTTCTGGTCTCAGGCTGATGCAGTTTCTGGTTTATGTGGTCCTTTCTATCTCTTGGGCTAATACTTACCTTTGCTTCAGTAGGTTGGGACCAGTTGATGCATCTTAGATAGCCGCTTCCTTGTTTTTAAGACCCCAGACGCCACTCACCAAAGCGGGATGCAGAACATTTTCTTAATAAACTTTGTTATGCCAATTGACCTAGATGTCCCCTGAAACCATGGTCCCCAGACTCCCGCCCCTGCTACTGTGTCCCTCGAAGTGTTTGGTTGTGTTCAGGAAACTTCTTAGCTTTGGTTTAGTGAGGGACTTTTTTTTAACTTTTACAATGATAGCTTTAGGATTTTGCGTCAGACCAAAGATAAATATGACTTTTTAAGACTCGGAGTAGGTAGAGAACACATTCAGGACTTAGCATGTGGAGCAAGGATAGCCAGAAGGAAAAAAGCAGTGGTTGTGACCTGTACCCTAATCGCTTAACTCACCTGTAGCTCTGTTCCGAAACACCAATGTGGAAGATGTCCTCAATGCCCGAAAACTGGAGCGAGACTCGCTTCGGGATGAGTCCCAAAGGAAGAAGGAACAAGACAAGTTGCAGAGGGAGAGGGACAAACTAGCCAAGCAGGAGCGCAAGGAAAAGGAAAAGAAAAGGACACAGAAAGGGGAGCGAAAGCGATAACCTTGGCCTACTCTCTCCTTTCTCCCATGAACTTGATCAAAGGGAGAACTGATTGTACACATGTGTATTTAAGAAAAATGAGAGAACATTGCAAAGTGGTTTCCCAAGGCATTTCCCCTTTTGTTTACGTGGTCAAAAGGAAAATCACAAACACTTTTAATTACAAAATGTGCCATGTCTCTGTGGTATGAGTAATCGGATTATTGTAGTTGATGTCTTTACCAAAGAGATGGACTGAGGGCAACCTCTGTTTTTTAATACAGAAATCCTGTGCTCCTTTCGGTCACGTTAAAGTCTTCCCTCACCTTGGATAAATAGCAGGATTCAGAAAGCTAACAGTTAGTTTTCAGCCTGAAGGAGCAGAAACATCACCATTCCTTCCCCAAGATGAAATGTAAGAGTGCAGATTGTTTCCAAGGCAGTGTTCAGCCCTAAATAATGTTGTTTTATGGCTGAAATAGAAAGCTAATGAAGAGCTCTACCTGGATCCAGATTTTATGTTACATGGCAGCAAACTAGGAAAATGGGAAGAAGTTATTTGGGGGGTGTTCTAGATTTGAGGATTTTTTTTTTTTTTTTTTTTAAGTTTCAGCCTATGGGTAGAAAAGAAGTATCGTTTTAATAGAGGTAGGTATTTTTCCTCATCTAGGCTGTGACTTTAAGAAGGAGGTGTCCTTATCAGTGCAAATATCATTAGCTTGATTTCCTAAAATCATGACTCCTTGAATGCTGATGGAAATCTTAATCTAATTTTCCCTAAAAGGTATGAGTATAAAGACCTCTGATAATTCCTTGTTTAGAGAAACTGGAGAAATCACCCTTTTAAGAAAGAAACACTGGAAATCTCTGCTAACACAGATAGTTAATAATGTATATAGTAGGTGCTTAACAAATTTATCGAATGAATGAGTGAATGGAAAATTGCTTGGGAGGTCAAAAGTGAGCAGGAGCTCTCCATTTCTACTTTTGTCGTAAGCCACATTCAGTTGTAAACAAGGCCTTTCTCTATTTGACTTCCAGGCAGCAGACTGTCAAGCTTGAAGAGTGCAATTTCACTGACGAAACAGAAAGTAGATACTCTATACCAGGGGTTGGCAAATTATTGCCCACAGGTCAAATTTGGCCTGGCTTGTTTTTGTATGGTACAAGCAAATGATGTACATTTTTAAAGGGTTGTTAAAAAAGAATACATGAAAGAATACATGACAGAGACTATATGTGGCTCACAAAGCCTAACATATTTACTATCTGTCTCTTTACAGAAATAATCTGCCAACTTCTGTTTTATACTCTTGACTATGAGATTAACAAAAAACTTTACCATTGTGCAGAAGGTAAAAAGATGCATGGTTAAGGAAAAGGAGATGTGTTTTACCTCTTCGTACACCTATAGCTGTGACATTGCAAAAATAAAAAAAAAACACCTTTTTAAAAAAATAAACTATTACATCACTGTCTTTTGATTTATATGATTCCTTCTAGCTACCCATGGAAATGACTTCTGTATGGATATTCATTTAGGAATGTGTTACTCAAACTAGTATTGACTTAAAAAAAAAGGATCAGCTCACTAGGCTTTGAGGAAGGATATCCACTTAAATAAGGTGCTAATAAATCCTTCTAAAATGTTCAGTAGCAAAAGGCAAATTTTGAACAACCCTATCTTCTATGGAAGGAGCCCTAGTGGCACAGTGGTTAAGCGCTCAGCTGCTAAGTGAAAGTATGGCAGTTCGAACCTACCTGCTGCTCCACAGGAGAAAGATGTTAACAGTCTGCTTCTGTAAAGAAACCCTATGGAGCAGTTCTACCCTGTCCTGTAGTGTCACTGTGAGTCGGAATCGACTTGTTGGCAGTGGGTTTGCTTTTATTTTCTATGGTTAAAACTGACATTTTAGACCAAATTTGGGATTTCAGTTGGTAACATTCTTAACCCTCTAAAAATTTATAGTAGCATACTATTCAAGTGGGAGGGACAGTAATTTTCAATCACCTTTATATAAATTGTGTTTTCCATTTTCTTAAAAAAATGAATATGCCAAATTCTTTTGGATTAGAAATGGTGGTAGCATCAGTTTCACTGTAAATCATATGTGATAGAAGCTATGTCAAAAATAAAGACGACGAGCTAATTTAAGAATTATGTACTAGGTAACATGTTATTTAGATTAATAACATTTTAAAGAATTTTTTGTGTCTGGTTTTTGTTAAGGGACTGGTGTTTCGTTTCTGACCACTATCATGTAAAGACTTCCTCAGAATTTTTATTTTGGTATCCCTGGATAAAGGTAAAGCAAAAATTTCATCTATGAAGGATGTTAGGTTAGATCCAAGGACAGCTGAATGGCATTGGTTTCAATCTACCAACATTATGAAATTTGAAACTTAGCATCAGTTCTTAACAATTAAATGAAATTTGATTGGTTTTCTGACATGAGTTTCTCTTTTAAGGTAAGAAACTAATACAAACATAAAAAATGATACTAAATATTTTCAACAAAGTAATTTATTTTTTACCTGACAGAATAAATTGAGTACAATATTTGTTTTTATAACATCTAACATGTCTTATGTCAAACTTAACCACTTTCTATGCAGTGACTGGTGGGGTGATCTGTTTTATTTAGCTACCCTCAATGTAATTCATTTGGGTAGTTCTAAGGCATATCAGTGATCAAAATGTTTTTCCCTACAGTTACTCCTGCATTCTCAATCAGTTTCTTCTGCACATCATCTAAAGAAAATTTATGTGGTGTGATTACACTCTTTTTTTATTTTTATTTTTTTAATACCAGGATTTCTAAAACTAGGAAAAACACCAACATTTAAAACATCAGTGTTTCTAGTCAAGGATAGTTCAATTAAATTTCATCAGTACATTATATTATAGTTCAACTCATGCTAGAATTGTTAAAACCCAAGATCTTCTGAGTCACATAATACCAACATTTCATATTAATGAATAAATTATTCAAGTTCCATACAAAGATATTAAATGATGAGAAACAGAAAAGGCCAAGCTTTCAAGAGCTCTTAAAAAAAAATACAGAAGCAAACTAATGAACATGACTACACAAAATATACACTAACCAATTGCAAACTAAACTTGTTAAAGATTAACCTTAAAAAAATACATTTTAGAACTTCCTGATACCCTCATAAAAGGCAGCAAACTAAGGGTATTAAAATAGTCATTATTTTAAATACCGTGCATCGAGTCTAAAAGACCCAGATAAAGGAAATGTTTTGTTTTGATTCAATTTAAATATTTTAAAACTGGAAATATTTAATAATTGATAGTATAAATTTTAAGGAATATACACAAATGATTTGAACAGGTTTTATATTCAGTAACTTGCATGGTTTTTACACCGGCACTTTTATCACTAATTTAGGAGAATCAGATGCATTTCCCTCCATATATATTTAGGCACTAAGATTTCAAATTTATAAATATGGTAGTATTTTAAATATTAAATTTTTACATGAATATTGAGTTTATCCTTGTCTTCCTTTGTTTCCTAGGTATTATCCAGTTTCATAAGGAAAACACATCACAATCAAAACTTGTCTTGGTTACTAGACTGTAACCATAATTGGGTTACAGTCACTTAGATTCATTATTTGGAGTTACACTTACTAAGGCAGACCTAAATGAAACTTCTGTCCTAAAAGAATTTCACATATGCATTTACCTGCACTGCAGAATGGGTTTAAGCAATATATTAGCTGTTAGGAAATATTTCATTTACTTAAACTTGTTATCTTTGACTACTCAGAACTTCTAGGTAGCCAATTTTACCTTGGAGTTCACTTTAAACTATATCTGATTCATTCCAAATAGAAGATTTTTAAATAGAAGTTAGACTTCATTAAGGTATTAACTTTAAATCTGAAAGAAAATTAAGGTATTGAAATTTTCAAGTTTGACAAGTTCATTAAAATTAGCATGTCTTGATACATTTACTTATCAGCTTTTATTCTTCTTTTTGCTGGCATTTCCTTAATGTTTGTTTGCTTCACCTCTCTGGTTCATTGGATTGCTACTATTTACGCTTTCATGGATTTTATCTTCACAGTTTACTATATCTTGTAAAGCCTTTTCCGTATCTGCTTGGCCAGCTGTACTGGCTGTTTTTGGCAAGGTCATCTGCAGTGCACACCATAGGGTAGTGCGTGCTTTCCGAGTAGCCACACACATCTCTTTAATTGCTGAAGCAAGAGCAAAAACATCTGTAAAAGAAATGTTCAGGGTGAGTTCACATTAGATACCATTAAAAAATCTTTTAACTCTTTAAAAATGTTTATATATTTTTAATTTTATTGTGGTAAAATATATATAACAAAACATTTGCGATTTTAATCTTTTTAAGTGTACAATTCAGTGACATTAATTGCATTAACCACGTTGTGCAACCATCACCAGCACCCATTCCCAAATATTTTTCATCACCCTCAACAGAAACTCAGTATAGCCCCTGGTAAACACTGGCAAACTCAGTACAGTCCCTGGTAAACACTAATAAACTTTTTGTCTCTATGCATTTGCCTGTACTAGACATTTCATGTAAATGAGATATAAATGAGATCATTTTGTATCTGACTTATTTCACTCAGAATAATGTCTTCAAGAACCCCTTTAATTCTTAGAAAGCCCTGTGCAGTTGCTACTCAATGATCAAACATTATTTTTATAAAAGAAAGATGGCTACTGACTGAGCTAATCAATATACTTAAAACTTTGGTACTTTATTTCTTACTTGTATGACAATGACTATGCTTTGAATAGAAACAAACTTTGTCTTAAGATAGTTATATTTAAATAGATAAAATTAGATAAGTGTAAATTGTAGAAATCCAATCTTTTAACCTCAGTTAGAATCTGATTTTACTAACACTCAAATTAGTGCATTGCCTTAGCAAAAAGAATATGCGTTAATATTTGTACCTCTGTCATCTTGGCATCTAGGAACTCCTTGCCTTTGCCGATTTGAAGCATTTACAATTTCATCCTTTCTACGTGACTGTACAATGTGAATGGACTCTAAGTGTCTATCGAGAGCAGTAGAGATATTGGCATGAAGGGGAGAGCTTCGAAGACGTTCCATTTTGCCTAGTAAAGTCACAACCTGCGGGAAACATTTTAAATTTTGGTAAGGCATGTAACCACATTGCCCTGCCATTAACATATGTAACAGCAAATCTTCGATGAAGCAGAATAGAGATGAGAGCAATAATATTCATTCAATAAATATCTGAATGCTTACTGTGTCTTGGACACTATGCAGGCAGAAACAGACGGAAAGTCAGTCTTTTATGTACGTGTACATTAATTCTAAAAGCTTTCAGGTTGTTAATTATTGAGAATAAGCAACAATGAAAAAGTCAAACGTTCAAACATTTCTGTGTCATTAACAGGAAGTGCAAATGTAATATCCAATATTACTTTTGGCAAATAAGAGAACAGCCTGCAAATAGAACATTTTAGGAGGTATTGTAATCTAAAGGGAAAAAAACTGAGCTAAAAGGGAGAAACCCTAGATTAATTAAATCTGACCTTAGGAAGTCCTTAATCTTTCTAGGTCTCCAATCTTCTCCTTTTGGAAATCAGAAATATTCTGACTAATGAATTGTTAAAATTGCTAAGGAAAATTAGGAAGTTTCAACTCGCTGGGGTTAAACTTAAAAAAGAAAAGGACACTGGATGTATCTGATCAGGAATCATGAGGGGGACTATGTTTCATAGTTGTATTTGCTTGACTTGTTTCAAATTCCAAACTTGGAATGTGTATAAAAAGAATTTTTTAAATAATTAGGATGTTGAATATCAAGTATATACAGTAATTACCTTTAGAAGGTAAATGATTTAACAATTCACATTAGAACTTGGTGTTCAGTAACTGGAGAGAGCAGTAAAATACTCAAGAAGCTAAAGGCACCTGAATGAATGCCTCTCTAACCTTACACTCAAATCAAGTTTCTCTGGAATAAGTCTATACCAGTTTGGCCCATGGAGAAAACAAAAGTATACAGGTATTATTTTCCTACCAACTCTACACCAAATCCTTGGGGGAAACAAAACAGCAAAAGAGAAAAATACATGCAGAAAACTACCGTGAACTACTAATTAGTATATATTTTTAAAATAAGATGGAATCACTTTGAATAGTTAAGTATAAAGAAAGTAATTTGCACAAGTGGTTTTAATAAACTTTTAAAAGATTTTTTTGCAGAATTCTACAAAACTAGCAAACTAGAAAATAGTGCACCCAAAAATATTTTTACCCTTTGTGTATTACTGAAATAATTGCTAAGTATAAATAAAATTATAATAGCTATGAATATAACCTAAACTGATGCAAAGGATAAGCGTAGCTGGAAAAAGTATATTTGTTAATATCCACAGTTTTTGAACCTTTTATTTATTGCTAAAAGTGTATTACTGAGATAAAGGAATTTTAACTTGAAACAATTTTAAGAAAAAAAATGAAAAAGATGTTTATTAACATCTGGCTGTAACCCACATCAGTATCTGAATATAAAACACCCATTGCCATCGAGTCGATTCCAACTCCTAGTGACCCTACAGAACAGAGTAGAACTGCCCCATAGGGTTTCCAAGGCTGTAATCTTTATGAGAGCAGACTGCCACATCTTTCTCTCGCGGAGGGGCTGATGGGTTTGAACCTCTGACATTTAGGTTAGCAGCTGAGCACTTAACCACCTCGTCACCAGGGCTCCTTGTATTTGAATATACCATGGATAAATTCCATTTATAGATTTACAAATTTGATAAAAGAATTTCAACTGAAAAGGTGAAAGCTAGGTAAAATTGATCTTTTTCCAGTGAAGTAGTTCATATCTATATTAAAGACAGCATGTTTAGGTGCATAGTTTTCTCCAGGTATCTTTATCAAATTTTACATGGAAAACAGTGTGAAGTTTTTAAAAAAGAAAAGTAAAAAAATTAAGACGTATACCCTACTCTATTAAAGTTGCTTAGAAAATTCTGAAATTAAAAAGGAGATAATAGAAATAATCATTTGTGTTACTGGGATTCTTTACATTTGATTTGAAGCAATCTGTGTAAGGTGGAAACCTGTTAGAGAAGGAAAACTCAAATATTTTCCACTAACAGAGCACAACAGAAAAGTGGTAAGACTGCACCCTGTCAAAGCTGGAAAACTTGTGAGACCAGGAAAAACGAGCATGTCCCATTGAGTTCCGGCTCTCACAGGTTTCATTGTACTACTTTTCCAAAACAAAGCTATTTTGTAAAATTATACACATCTACATAATCCAGTTTACCACTATTTAATATATTGCTGGATAAACTTCATGCTTGTTGAATGATTCAAGAGTGCTGGCTTAAGAAAATGAAAAACGGTAATTCCCTGTTCATTTACCATCTTGTATCCTATAGGGTCACTATGAGTCAGAATCACCTCGACGGCAACACTGTTTTTTTTTAATAACTCAAATCTAGTTTGCTCATCAAGCTAGAAAACAAATGTTTGTGACTAAGAAATGGAACTTTCTCTAAAGTAGTATTTAAAATGGCTTTTGCTTTAAAAAAAATTTATTTTGGGGATTAGCTCCATTGCCAATTTTGGTGTGAAAGCGGAACCACTTAAATTACTGAAGCTACTTTTCAAATGATTGAAGCCATTTTCCCTTTTCTAAGTATGTATTAACCATAGTTCTAGGACCAAACATGGAAAAGACTATGTTTCAAAAAATTCCATGTAAATGTGATTTTAAAATCCTATAGAACTATAACTTGCTAAAGTGTTTAAAAATTTTATCAAGCAATTTTAAAATCCACTATTGGATGTTTTTACAGCTTACTCTGGCTTGTTCTCGAAGTTCATCCACAATTAAGCGATCAACTCTAGAAGGATTGGAGGTCAGCCTTGGAATTGGAGTGTTATTAGTACTGGATACTTTTTTTCCTGGGTAATTCTTTGCAAGGGCCAGTTCAGTCTGTAAAAAATTATATAATTTTTAGATGATGAATTTTCTAAATAAGCTTCAACAGTGAATAATATTTCTCATTGGCCTGAGAAATAAGATGAAAAATATCACTTAAAAAATTGTTTTGGTGTCAATAAGGCAACAAATATAAACCACAGTACCATAGTGTTTTTCTGTCATACTTCATACATATAAATATATCCAAACACCTGGACACTCTTACAATTTAATACTAAAAAATTCAAAGAAATACATTTTTAACCTATTAAGAAAATAGTCTACTTCATAGGCAAAACAAACTTTACAAAAAATTAGAACATAAAAAACAATTAAGAAACCTCAAGCTTTTTAGTCTTTAAGTCACCTAGTTAATATCTTATAGTCATGAACTTAACAAATACTGCATATTATAAAAGAATTCAGCTTAAGAGATGAAGCAAATATTCAAACTACTAAGGTAAATATAGTGAAAATAGAGGGAACATATTAATTATTCCTAAATGAATAGCTTTATGTTACCTTTTTTCTCTCCTTTTCTAATGCTCTCCACTGTTCATAGCACTCTTCTAGACGAATATGAAGTTCACTGGCTGGTCCACTACGGGTTTTAATTGGTCTTTGAAATCCAAAAGTTGGCACGAAACCAGAAAAGGAATTATCACCATACATCATATCATTAAAATAAGGGTATAAATGGCTTAAGTCATCATAAGAAAACAAATCATAGGAATCTAACAGTGGAATAACAGAATGGCCAAATGGGTGGGTAGATCTTAGGGGAAACCCATTTGAACCAAGTTGTTGAAAACTCTGATTATGCCTTAAATCTCCCATCATATAATTATTAGAAAAGCATGATGCCTGTGTGCGATTCACACGGCTATTAATATTGCTGTCTCCACTTCCCTGTCTGTGGCTATTAAAATGACCCTGTGACTCCAACAGATCTTGATATGTATTTTGAGATAAGCCATCTAAATGCTTTGGACCTTCCTCAGGATCATAATGTCCACTCTGGGGCTTCGCTTGAAAATTATGTTTGTTCACGTTTCCAATGATCCCATATTGCTGAGCTGAATAATTATCACAAAATCCATTTGACTGCTTTATTTTTTTATCAGTAACCGATTCAAAGAGATTTTCTTCTCCAGTTTTTGTCAGTCCTTCCAAGTGATTGACAGATTGAATTCTTTCTGCACCACTGTAACTGAAATCAAAACTAGAAAATGTTGAAGGGTTTTCTTGGCAATACTTTTGAAATAGATTGTTATTTGGGGTTAAATTTGTGGATGATAGTTGGGGGAAATCTGAATGGTTAGAACCTTTTGAAGCAGCACTTAAATGATTATTTAATTTCATCAAGTTACCTTGATTTCGATAAGGAATAGGAGTGTTATTTTTTGTTTGAACATTCATCCAAGTTGGTCTATTTAAGCTGATACCTCCTGAAGATGTTGCTGCGTTTGATAATAAATTCACTGATTTAAAATACTCAGAATTTGGAGGATCAGGTTTAGCAAACTGCTGCTTTTCTGTGACATTAGCAAAATCACTATTAGCTGGGCAAGTTGTATGAGGTTTCAGTCCATATTCTGATTTTAAGCCAAAATCAGCAGTGAATGCCGCTTCCTTTGCAAACTGCTTTTCTGTCAGATGTGGTGTAGTTTTGGGAAATGTGAAATTCTGCTGGTCAGGTATTGTCTCCTCCATCTTTTTCTGATTTGCTGGTTTAACTTGAAATAACTTTGTGTAGGTGTCTGCTTCTACAGTTGGTGTTTCTGGTGTGCCATTGGCTAATTTTTTGCTGTCTTGGACACTAAAATTTGAACATTTATTAAGCTTAGCTTTATTAGGGTGAGCATATTCTGGATATCTACAGTAATCTGCATTTTCATTGTATCTATTGAATTGGGAAAGAAACATCTCTGCCCTTTTTTGCTGTAATGGTGCTTCAAGACCTTTAGCACATATTTTTTCTCTCCCATAAGGGTAAGTATCAACTCCTGATTCTTTCATGATGTCAGACAGACCAGTTTGTGGTGTAAAGCAGTTTTTGATAAATGGATATTCTTGGAATGTTGTTTTAGCTGTATCGCTTGTCTGAATATTGTAACAGTTAGAATGATCACTTCGTGAGGGGTACATCCATTGTTCTTCGAGGTCTAAACCAGTAAATCCATGATAAAGTTCATCTATTTTTTGTTGTGGTGTGAGGTTACTATTATGCAGGTATTGCTTTTCCACTGCTGACACAGATTCACCACTATAAAAGGCTTGCTGAGAGATGGCTGTATCTATTGGCCTTTTGGTTTCTGTTAAGAGGTCATGGTGATCTGCAAATCTGCTTGTGTTCACTGGCCAAACTGACTTTAAGTTGGAGGAGCAGGCCCTAGAACAAGTAAATATATTCAATTACAACTTAGGTTTTAAAGACTTTATTTCCTCAGTGAAGAAGATAGGAAAGGCTTTCAAAAACATTTATCTTGCCCCACCTCATCATTCATTAATTGTTTCCAATTTTGTCTTATAAGTTACCATTACCTCCAGATAATTCTCTATCACTTGAAATGTGTTATATGCTATATAAATATGCATTTTGAATCTAATATGCCTTCACTGTACTTTCCCAAGAGGCATTAACTAAAGTTTAATGCTGGTGACTGCATGGTCTTAGATGAATTATCTAGTAAGCAGAGAACAAAGTAAGTTTTTTCTTTGATTAGGTTATTATATAATACAAAAGTGTGAGTCAAACAGTTTTTTTAATGAAAAAGATGTGTTCTGCTTAAACTATTTTTGAAATTAAAATATTTTAATTGGTTACATGTGTGTTACACACTTCCCTGTTTATGAAATAGAGCATTTGGGTAGTATGGCTTCCACACCCAAATAAAACAAAGCATATTTAAAAATTTTTACCACATGAATAAAATCCATGTGTATTTCTGCATAGCAGTAATGATAGTTTTATTCTTTGGGATCTACATATAAAAGCTCCTAGGAATTTACACTCTTTAAGCCAAACTTTAGCTCATGAACTCAAGGGAAATAGCTCTGAATTATGCAAGAATAGTTTTCCAAATGAAAACTTTCAATTATATGGAAAGTATTTAAGCAAAATCAAGTCCCCTAGAAACAAATATTTGAATTAAGATGTCTACTGCCAGATGATCCTCTATTAAGTAAAAATAAAAGCTAATAAACAATAGAGACAGAACACAGATTGGTGGTTGCCAGGGGTTGTGGGAGGGAGGAATGGGAATAACTGCTTAATGGATATGAGGTTTCCTTTTGGGGTTCTGAAAATGTTTTGGAACGAGATGGAGGTGATGGTTGTAAAACATTGTGAATGTACTCAATGCCACTGAACTATTCACTTTAAAATGGTTAATTTTATGTTATGTCAATTTCACTTCAATTTTTAAAAAGTTAATAAACAGGGCAATGTGGTATATATGAATCTAAAAGTTTACTATATACTATATAGCTTATAAAATATACTAACCCCTCAGCAAAATATGGCTGTGACGACTTATCTTGTTCTTCCAAAATGTTAGACACAAGTCCATATAAGTCTGTTTCACTGCCATAGTCATTTCTTTCAGTTTGAATCCTAAAAATAAATGAACACCAACTGTAAATTATTTTATTCATACTGAAATACAATAGGTTGCTTTCTGTTTCTAGGCTTATTCTACCATATTTGGACTGAATCTACACTATTATTTCAAATAAAGAGGGGGTATGAACTCAAGAATATTTTCCACATTGGCATGGTATCTACCCTACATATTCATATTCATATCATATTCTAGTTCACAGTGTATGCCTACCTCTTATTTCTCCACAAGTGCTATTCATTTTAGGTGACCAAGATGTAAATCTCTGACCTATGATGTTGCAGACATGTTTGGTACCATGGCTGCTCCTGAAAGCATGTCTGGTTCTATTATATATCATTCCATCAACACTTGCTCAGTTTCTTCATTTGTGATTTGAAAACCATATGAACCTGCTGCTCTATTTTTGTGACTCTTTACACTGAATATTAGACAAAAAAGTGAAATGTTACCTGGTCATGTAGGTACCATAGCAATATTGCAGTTGTTCCCTAAACATAACAGATTTGGGGGACTAACCCTAATTTCTTGCCAAAGTAGTGACTGGAGTTCCATGAACCTGACATCCTACTTAGTGACTAATACTGTGTAAATAACACAAAATGTAAAAACCACAAGGAGATGAAAAATTAATTGGTACCTTTTTACCTCCTATAGATTTCGGGTAATTTCTATCCAGAAGTAATATGTTGTTTTAAATTGTAATTTCTTGGCTTTTTCATATCTTATTTTCCAATATTTCACAGTGTTAGGACATTTTAAAAATAATACCTTATATTTATGTAACATTTAAACATTTAATTCATCTTCATAACATAGGAAGGGCAGGCATTAGTAATCATTCAGTTATTATCTGTTGAATGAATGATCATTTGACATATGAAGAAATTTGTATTTTGCAAGGGTACATGACTTGCCAAACTTTACTATACACTTGCTGACCAAATTGTCTACCTACAAGTCTAATGCTTTTTACACTACATTGTGTTATTTCATAAAGATTTAATATAAAAGTTTTTTAAAATAATTTGTTAGTATACACCTAAAAAAATTCAATGTAATATACACTAAACTGTTAAGAGTTGTTATCTGGGGGTTACAGAATTATATAGCAGTATATAATCTTTCTAGTAAGATCATTATCTTAGACAATTTACCAGGATTTTAAAAAAAAGTAACTTTTTTTTAATTAGTAAGATTGAATTAATAACTCTCTTCCCTGGTTAAACTAAAGACATATCAGCCTATATCAACCTCTCCCTTATATATAGTTAAAATAAAAGTAGATGTCACTCCCTTAGGCTTCTCCTTGCAGTAGGCTCCCATATCCTATGCTTTTTAGGTAACCTCACTATACTTGCCTGGCATGTCATCGTCAGCATCAGCATCATCACTGTAAGATCTATGAAGCAGGGATAATGTTTGCTGTGTTAACTCTAGAATCCCCTGTAGGAGGGCATCTGACACACAGTTGAGGTTAGCTGCCTGTTTGTTGTGTACTTGTGAAGGAAAAAAGTATTGAAAACTTGGAATTGGATGAAAAAATAGATCTAGATATTATAACATTTATATTGTTTATCATTAGAAAGAGGAACTTCTTCAGATTTGTTCACTAAGGGTTCCCTCTAATTAATAAAAAAAAGTAATAACAAAAAATTATACACAAATAACTGCCCAGTTTAGGCTTTCCTAAAAGTTTGATAAAGGTAAAATTGTAATGCTACCGCATTAAAATTCTAATATAGGGAAAAAATGCTAATGCTCCTGGATTCCTATGTAATGAAACTTAAAAACACCTCATTTAGCTTGAAAAGCCTAATTTATTAATTTACCTGTTCTTGACATTGATCTGAGAATTAGAAGGTTGTTTAATATCATCTCCATAAGTAGACCACGGTGCATAGAAAAGTGAAGAATCTACAGAATTTGAATATTCTGTTGAGGAAGAAAGTGGAGTGTAGGTCTGCCTTAGGTCTACATTGTCTTCACTCTGAAATTTTATAAGAAATATTTGCCTGTCAGACACATCAAAACTTCATTTATTACAGAATATTAGCAAAATAATAAGCAATGAGGAAATAACACAGGAGTTAAGGGTTAGGAGACTTACATTCAAATCTAAACTTAGCTACTTTAGCTTACTCTGTTCCAGCGGTTGACAAACTTTTTCTGTAAAGAGCCAGATAGTAAATATTTTAGGCTATGCAGGCCATTAAAGCCTCCTCAATTCTGCTGTTTTAGCATCAAAGCAACCATAGACATAAATGGGCGTGGTTATGTTCCAATAAAACTTTATTTACAAAAGCAGACATCAGGAAGATTTAGCCCCTGGACCATGCCATTGTTTGCTGACCCCTGGTATAAAATGCCTACAGTGATAATAATTGCAGTTTTAATGTTTTGAGATGAGCATTATGAAGACACTAACGGAGTTATTTTTAATAAATCATAAACTAAACTGTCTTAACACTGCCAATCTGTGGGAGAAAAAAGTTAATGTATGTTTATATAGCATTTTGCAATTTTCAAAGAAATTCCACATACATTATTGCATTCAGTCAATCTTGTGACATAGGTATTATCTCTATATTAAAAACAAGGAAGCTGAGGCCACAAGTTAACTGAGACAGTAAATGACAAAACTAAAATCAAATCTCAGGGCCTTCTTACTCCTAGTCTAGGGCCTTTTTCCATATCTTTAATTTTCAGCCTAGTTTCTATTTCCAAGAGATATTGTAAAAATGAGATATGTAAAATGTCATTATCTCTCCAGAAATTTTAGATATTACTATATAAGTAGAAGAAAAATACAAGCATTTTTTTTGTGTTAATGCTTCTATAATGAATTTTGAGTAAACAAGATAAAAAGTTTGACTCTTAAGATTTTAATAAATTATTTAAATTTATTTCCAAAAAGGATGGAGGTACAGTGAAAACAATTAAAAAATACTTTAAAAAGTAGAATGAATTTAAAACAACAAACAAAAGAACATATCCAACTAATTTAGAATTTGTTTATTCTAGAAATTCCTTCCTTAAAAAGCCTGAAATCAAATTAAATCTAAGTAAATTTTAGTACAGATATAGCATTATAGAGAGCAGCAGAACACTGGTCTTTGGAATGAAAAGACCTGGGTTCCAGCTGAGTTATGCCACTTAGGGCACAAAGTCAAGCTCTCTGAGCCTCAAGTTTCTCAGTCCATACAGTGTGCATAATATTATACAAAATAAAATTATTTTAGGATATTGTTATAACTCAAAGTATAATATCAGCATTGATGGCATTGATGGGTAGGGGTAAATCAAGTGAAAACTAAATGTTTTAGGTGAGGTAAATCATAGCATGCTAAGACACTATTAAAGTCAGAGAATAAAGGAGGAAAATATTTCACCTGTCAATGATCAAAAGTATGTTTATACTGACTTGCAATAAATGCTTGAAGGAAAAAATACTTTATGGTCTTATTAAATAAATATGGGTTTTTCCTTCATTTCTGGCCTCATGTTATTCATGCTGAGAACAAGATGCAAACAGGAGTCAATGAAAAATCTTATTCCTTAAATTATTTTCAAAACAAAGAATGTATTTTGCAAACTCTGTATCTAAAATGCTGGCACCTGCTTTCTGGTCTAACCAGGGACCAATCTAAACACCTAAGCGAATCGGCTTGGGTAGATGAATCTTAGAATAAACGCTCTAACGAAGGGCTCAGTTTATCAATGGACCTGCGATTTGTAGCAATCATAGAAGGAAGTGGAGCCAGTCAGCATCACACTGTTGAACACATCTGTTAATCTACTGCTGGTGTCGGTACTGAGGTTCCAGCAGCGATTCGCACCTCCACGAAACGCCACTTTAGGCTGCACAAAAAGGATAGGAAATGGAGAAAGACATCAGCAGTGGAAAGCCACGGCTGCAACCGCCAGACGACTGTTCTCACTTGACCGTTTGAGTCCCTCAATTCCCAATCCTCTCAGAGGGCGCTAACGTGGGGCCCCGCGCTGCTGTCCCCGATCCCTCTACTCTGGGCCACCTGCGGGCTGACCCTGAGGCCCCACCGCCGGCCATCGTGGCCCGACATGGGAGAGGCGGCGGCTGCCAGGCCGTCGCGGCCACCCCAGCCCCGGCCGGCCGGTCCTGTCACCCGCGCCGCGATCGCCCTCCCGGGC